AACAAATGTATGTTTGATCGATAGATAGATGCTATTTACATGTTTACATGCACAGAATATAAATTCATTTTATATTTTTGTAATTTCGCATCGCTACCTTGTTACTGTGAATTAAAAGTTTGTAAATGTGAATCAAGTGTTGGTGTAAATAATCAGCAGATTATAGCATAAAATACGTACGTGCTATAGGGGGTATTTTGGACCCCAGCGAGAAAAAATGTGTATAATTGTTTTATTTATCAATATTGGGTTAAGCCTTGACTAATACTAGGTGATGCCACAGAATCAAATTTGGCGCGCATCTATTAAAAATTTGCGTTCAAAAACACTCTGGGGTACTTTTAACCATGTCTGTCAGCTAAGGGTTAATACTCTATTCCGATATTTATTTGACATGCCGTATTTAAAGACGCACTAACGATTGATAATATTGAAAATTTCCGTTGATCGAGATACGGAATTTTTTTAATATCGATTTACATCGGCCGATGCTAGTAAGATAAGCACGTAAGCATCTGTAAATATAACTGTATTGTACTTAAGGTTCCTGGTCGCTCACTGTAGCATGTAAAAAATTATTTTACACGGGTGTATGCAGATTTTTCTTTTGATATAGTCTAATATGACTACGGTAAAAGACCAGGTGCTACAATACGATGGCATATCTAATTACCTTGTTATTACTGTTGCTATTATTGTCGGTAGTACAAATTAAATTATTCAATAAATAACTATTTTGATAAAAAGGTATTCGTAATGTATATTTGGTAAACACGACTTTTTATCTATGAATGATATAGAACTGAGGTTTACTATTACGCTGTAAACTAATCTGAAATAAGGTATTTCAATGCATGTCGGACGTTTTCCTATTAATTTACGATGCTTACGAAATGAAAAAAAACGGAGAAAGAAAAGAAAAATTTTATTTCATTTAACGTAGAATCATGAAAATGAAACTTTCTGATCAATGTTAAGCCGTACTACGCTCGGTTTCTCATCGAAGACAGTGGCGACTCGTAGCGGAGTCTTTGGAGTTAAGAAATAACAGGTTTAGCAGAACGGGTTTATTATCGGGTCTAAATATTAGACTCGTAACTTTTGTTACAGCATAAACTGTACACGTAGTCTAGATGTGCAACTGCAATAATATTTCTTACTCCTGGTGTTCGTTCTTTTTAGTGATGTGTGAATATCTAGATATATTTGAGCAGACAATGCGTCATCATGAAAGCTTAACACCGAGTGCAGCATCATATAGTGTCACACAACGTGCTCCGGAGAGCGCACTGCTTCCATTCTGTCGTGAAAAGAGGTAAACGAAATCACGATATGTGATATTGTGGTTAAAATCGACTTATTATGCTATCATCATAACGTATTTTGTCCGCGATAGCATTAATATACAATCCTTACAACAGGAGTAATAACGATTTATAATTATTTTCAGCTAATCACCCCTCTTCAAATATGTCCGATGTGGAAAAGTAAGTGTATTTAAAGTTATGTCAATACCACGTATTTATATTATGCTAATCATTTAAATGATTTAAAGATGACCAATAAATGTATAAAACTGTACAAATTTACGGGAAGTTTGTGAGAGTAAGGAAAAAGATACGGTAGTCAACACCCGTTGCATTGTATATTTGCTACTGATTTTTTACCGCAAGTTAGAATATTGTTGTTATATTCCTAACTGTTATACTTAATCAAATTATTGTTCACAGTGATGATGTGCCATCGGCAGCGGGTGGTCCCATGGATGTAAACACAGCTTTGCAGGAAGTTCTGAAAAATGCTCTTATTCACGATGGTGTCGTACATGGTCTTCATGAAGCAGCAAAAGCGTTGGACAAGTAAGCATTGGAAAAAAAANCGAAAGCTTCTTGAAGAAGACATAATTAATTTAATGGAATATATTTCTTTTTAATATGAAACAAATATTACAATAAGTAACATTATAAATAATATAATAATATAAGTAACATTATAAATAACGTTATAAATGCGCTAATATATGTACTAACATTTTCTTTTTATATCATAGGAGACAAGCCATGCTTTGTATATTGGCAGACAATTGTGATGAGCCAATGTATAAAAAATTGGTTCAAGCATTATGTAACGAACACCAAATTCCACTAATAAAGGTGGACAATAATAAAAAATTAGGTGAATGGG